ATATGAAGTGGTCTTACTTTGTGTGTGTGTGTGTGTGTGTACATGTGCATGCACATGCATGCAAATACTGGGACTTGAACTCAAGGCCTTATGCTCTTGCCTGGATATTTTTCTCAAAGCAGGACATGCTTCAACTTTTGGTTTTTTGGTAATTATATGGAAATAAAAACCTGCCAGGTGCGGGTTACTCATTCCTGTAATCCTAGCTATTCAGGAGGCTGAGATCTGAGGATCGTAGTTCAAAACCAGCCTTGGCAGGAAAGTCCGTGAGACTGTTTATCTCTAATAAAAACTACTCAGAAACCCGGAAGTGACGCTGTGGCTCAAGTGGTAGAGCGCTAGCCTTGAGCTGAAGAGCTGAGGGACAGCGCTCGGAGTTGAAGCCTCTGACCAACAAAAAAGAAAAGAAAAGCTTTCAGTGTTGTCTGCCTGAGCTGGCTCTTGACCACAATCCTCAGATTTCAGCATCCAGAGGAGCTAGGATTACAGGCAAGAACCACAGTGCTTTGCTTCAGCACCTTTAAAAACATTTTTTAAATTGTTATTGTAAAGGCGATGTACAGAGGAGATACAGTTACACAAGTCAGGTAATGAGTACATTTCTTTGGGGACAATGTCACCCCTTCCCTTGCTCTCTCCCAATTTTCCCCTTCTGTCCCCACCCACAAGTTGTATAGTTCATTTTCAACATAGATTTTACTGAGTATCACTTATGCATTTATTCACTCTTTGTCCCTCTGTGTCAGTGCCCACCCCTTACCTTCTTAGCACTTGTTTTAAGTCCCCTGGGCGATTCTTGCATGCAGGTGGGGCTGACAAAGAATCTACCCAGGTGCTTTTTGAGTTTCAGCTGAGATCTGGAGAGAATGATCCAAGATGACAGAGGGAGCTGTTAGTGGGTCACAAAGCAGGCCAGAACTGCTAAGCAGCTAGCACATAATCTGTGTCACTGCTAGTGTGCAAAAACACACAGCTGATCAAAACGAGAGCCTGCAAACTTCTAATCATAGCTGGCTTACTCCTGTTTAATAACAACCTAAACCGATTTTTTGTACTTTCTCCTCACTAGCTTTCACTGACTGCCTGTGACAGTCCACAATTCTTGGCTATGATCTTAGTTTTTGCTTACTGGGAACTACTTTGGGGTAGGCAACAATGGCTTTGTTTGTAATGGTAGCTTCCAGAAGGTTGAAATCTAAGGCTCTCGGTGCTAAGCCAGCCAGCACAGGAAAATCTGTGAGATCCTACGTCAATGAATCCCCCCCAAAATGTCTAAACTTGAGGCATGGGCCAAGTGGTAGAGTGCCAGAACAAATGAAAGAGAAATAAAGAAAGTGGAAAAAAGAGAAAAGAGAGAGAGGAAGGAAAGAAGGAAGGGAAGGGAATGGAGGGGAAGGGAAGGAAACTACAGTGAAGGGAAGGGAAGGAAGGAAGAAAGGAAAGAAAGAAGGAAGGAAAGGAGGAAGGAAAGGAGGAAGGAAGGAAGGAAAGAAGGAAGGAAGGAAGGAAGGAAGAAAAAGAAGCTTCTGCTAACTTTTTTTAATTCCCTCCCTCTCTGTTCCTTAGCATCAAAAGACAACTCTTGCCAGGCTCCGGTGGCTCACACCTGTAATCCTAGCTACTCAGTAGGCTGAAATCTGAGGATCACAGTTCAAAGCCAGCCTGGGCAGGAAAGTCTGTGCGACTCTTATCACCAATAAAACCCATTAGAAAACTGGAAGTGGAGCCACTTCTGGTGTTTTCTGTTTATGTGGTACTGAGGAATCGAACCCAGGGCTTCATGCATGCTAGACAAGCACTCTACCACTTAGTCACATTCCCAGCCTCAAGTGTCTGGGCTTTATAAGAGTAAACTCTACAAAATGATACCTCTGAGTTTAAAAAACTCACACTCCAGTTTGAACCACAGGGACCTCAGGACTGAATTAAGAAGCAGGAACACCATGGAATAAGGTGACGAGGCCTGCTCTAACTTTTGCAGTGCAGACCACACAGAGACGTCTGATATCATATGCAAAATATTTACATGTCTCAAGTCAAAAAATAACTTAGCTCAACTATATCAACTATATCCTCTCATTCTACCTTTTATAAGGACCTGGAGGTCAAGGGCCAATTTGAGATTTTCAACTTGGTATTAGTGGTTTATGCCTCTAATCCTAGCTACTCAGGAGGCTGAGATCCAGAGGACCAACACTGGAAGCCAGCATAATTATGCAGAAAAGTTCAGAAGACTTAATCCCCAATTAAGATCCCTGGCTGAAAGTTTAGCTCAAGGGGTAGAGTGACAGCTGAGCAAGAAACCGAGCAAGTTCAAGGTTCTGAGTCCAAATTCTGATCCAGGCAAAATGAATGAATAAATGAATAAGTAGATAAATAGAAAATATGGGATTCTTGGACTTCTGAGTTCTATGTAGGAAAGTGGCAGTGAAGAACTTGCTGCCTGCCTCTTCCTTTCCACACTCCAGGCTTCTGGAATGAATATTCAATTTCCTAAGACGATGATTTTCAAGTTGGGGCATAACTCAGTGATGAGTGCTTGCTTAGGACGTTCAAGGATCTGGATTTGATCCCAGATTTCTCCTGCCCCCTACCAAAAAACCAAAGAAAGAATTCTCAAGAAGATGATCTGGCAATGCCTGGAGAGATTTGTGGTTGTCATGGTCTGAGGAAAAGGAGAGGGTACGAATTGCATCTAGTGAGTAGAAACCAGGGTGCTATCAAATATCCTACAACATCCAGACCACCGGCCACCTCAGGAATTATCTGGCCCAAAATGTCAATAATGCAAAGATGCCATAATCTGCTCCAAGAGGACACAAATAATGTTTAATATCACATACTTAAAATTCCTTTACCCTGTTTTTGGAAAGTGATTAGTAAATTGGAGGTCCTGAGTTCAAACCACAGTATTGCCAATAAATCACACACACACACACACACACACACACACACACACGCCCGCACCAATGTGGCTTTTTGTAACTGTAGGTTGCTGTCTTGGCAGTTTACAAGGAACTGAACTGTGCCCCTCTAACTTCCTGGAACCCAAAGAAACTTTGGCCTTGACTTTGGGCATAGGCTCTTTGGCAAGCATTTTGTGTTATATAACTACCTAGCACATGCAAGTGATCTGGAGAATACCAGTAAGTAGAACAAGCAAACTCACAACTATGTACATTGTCTCCAGGATGATATAAATGTGAGCTGTGTACCTCTGGTAGAGGATGCACTACAGTCCAGGGGGCAAATAAACTGTATCTTAGCTGAGCTATTTGGGAAGTAGATCACAGCCCAAGGATCTGTACAAGAGCACAAGAGACTCTGAAAAGCAAAACAAGAGCAAAAGGACTAGGGGTGTGGCTCAAGTACAGGGGTCAGCTACAAGCAGAGGTTTTTATTTAGTTCAATACCCTCCCCCCCTACACAAAAAAGAATAAAATCACTACCAACAAAACAAAAAACAAAGTGGCCTGAAATTCTAGCCAAGCAGAAGATGGAAATCTGGGTTTGAATTTACCACTTCCTCAGGAACAAAGCACTGCCATCTCTGGTTATTCAGGGACTCTGGGAGATGGACCATTTATTTCCTTCCTTTGTGGTTTAAGCGAACAGTTCTTCCAACTAAAGAGGTGGTGATGGGTGGTGGTGGTGTTTTTTCTAAGATAGCTTGCGTGGCAGACACGTGCATGTTCACTGTACAAATAATTCTAAATGAGCCTTGGTGAAGGCTTTCTGCACACTACTGGGGAGCTACCCACGGTCCCTTGTAGATTTCTACACATTTCTGAGCACATAAGTAAAAACACTGATCTCTTGCAAAAACAATCCAGGAAAATAGTTTGTACTGTGTGTGCATGTCATGTTTCTTCTTGAAAGATTAAGTATATGTCTTTCTCTTACAAAGAGGTCGCAAGGATTTAACTCTTTTTTCCTTGTCCATGTCTCTGCAGATAAGAACAATACAAAACCACAGGAAACACTAGAAACCAACCAGGTGCCACACTGCTGTCTTCAGGGTGTCACTTTGACAAACTGGGAAAATCTGACAGTAGCAGAATTTGGCTAACCAAATATATAACCCTATGTGCAAAGGATGAAGAAAATCGCAGACAAGAAAAAGATGGGGACTGGGAAGGTGGCTCAGTGGTAGAGCGCTTGCCTTGCATGAGGCCCTGGGTTCGATTCCTCAGCACCACATAAGCAAAAAGGAAAAAGCCGGAAGTGGCGCTGTAGCTCAAATGGTAGAGCGCTAGCCTTGAGCGGAAGAACTGAGGGACAGCGCCTAGGCCCAGAGTTCAAGAGCCAAGACAGACTAAATAAATAAATAAAAAAGAAAAAGATGTAGCATCAGGAACCCCCAAACATAACACTGAGGCCTACGGCAAGCATCCATCTTGGTATTTTTTCCTTCTCTTCCCCTTCAGTCTTATTCCCTCTTCTTCCTCCCCTTTTCCTTTTTGGGGTTCCAGTGTCTAAAGATCAAATAAGACATTGGGACCAAAGTGGTCATACTAGTGACGTTTTCACTCAAGGCTAATGCTCTACCACTTGAGCCACAACTCTGCTTCTGGCCTTTTTGGTGATTAACTGGAGCTAAGAGTCTCTCTAATTTGTCTGCCCGGGCTGGCTTCGAACCCCGATCCTCAGATTCTAGTCTCCTGAGCAGCTAGGATTCACAGATGAGGTTCACCGGCACCCGGCTCTAACGACATTTCTAGACAAAGTGGCTTCAGGTCTCCCAGGTACACAACCTCATTTTCGCAATTTCTGCAGTGGGACCCACGAGCTCCAACCTCGGAAGCTGTTCGGGCGCGGGTTTCAGCCTTCCGGACCTTCCACCGCCGCCGGCGTCTGCGGTCAGGCGTTGCGCGTCGAGGGCAGGCGCGCCATCGCCCGACCACGCCCCCACATGACTCACTAGGTAGTGATTGGTTCCGGGCCACGGTGGGCGTGGACCTCGGGGACCGACCTATAAAAGAGCCGGGGCTCCGCCACCGCTCGGGTTGGTGTTGGCGTGTCCTGTAGTGTCGTATAACGGCCTCCTCCCGCCGTTTTCGGACCCGGGTTCAAGCGCGTCGCGGGCGAATCATGGCGCTGAAGGCCGTGTGCGTGCTGAAGGGCGATAGTCTGGTGCAGGGCATCATCCACTTCGAGCAGCAGGCAAGGCCCGGGGCAGAGGCCTGTGGCCCACGCACCTGTGCGGGGAGCGGGCGGCCGTGAGGCCTTGGGGCCGCCCTCGTCACGCCCCTCGCCGGGCGGCCGGAGGATCCGCGCCGCCTCGGGCCTCGTGCGCCCCTAAGTGCTGAGTCATCGCTCGGTCGCCGGGGCGGCGCGGGGCCGAGGCGGGCCGCGGGCGCGGCGGGCTGGGGCCGGGGCCGGGGCCGGGCCGGGAGGACCGGGGAGGGCGGCGGCCGCGCGCCGGGCCTGGCCGGGTCCCCGTGGCGCGGTCTCGGTGCCGCGAGGGGACGGGGGCGTTCGGCGCTTTCGGGGCGGCGGCGGTTCTTCCTCTCGGGGTCGTTTTCTCCCCGGATCCCGGATGACGCAGACCGGGGTTGGGGCGCGGCCGCAGGGCCCGCCCCTGTTCCCGCGGCGTCCGTTATCCCCCGGCGGCTGGGCCCGGGATCTCCCGCGTGGCGTGGGGTTTTGTTTTCTAGGTGAAGGTGGTTTGGGGAATCGAGGCCACGAGCGGCGAGCTCGGATCTGTGATACTTGGCAGGAAAATGCGAGGCCGAGGCCCTGATGTTGGAGGTCACGGTCAGGCAGAGGAGATGGCCTTGGACCGTGATCCGTTCCCTCCTCCCCAGCTCCAAGCGCCGGGCTGCCCGCTGTGGGCAGAGCGAGCTCGTCCCCGGGCAGTGGAGACACGCTGGGCTCACCGTGAACGCGCGAGGGGAGCTTTATACCAAGAGCCCAACAGCACATCAAGGACATTAAAAATCCCACCAGCCTCAGGCTCAGGATTGGTGTATTGTTTTTGATTTTTTTTTCTTTTTGTTGTTGTGGTTTTAAGTTTCCAAAGTGATTTTAATGTGCATCTAGGCTTCAAAAGTCCCTGGGGTAGGGCTGGGAAGGTGGCTCAGCGGTAGAGCGCTTGCCTTGCATGCCTGAGGCCCTGGGTTCGATTCCTCAGCACCACATAAGAAAAAAGAAAAAAGCCGGAAGTGGTGCTGTGGCTCAAGTGGTAGAGCGCTAGCCTTGAGCTGAAGAGCTGAGGGACAACGCCCAGGCCCAGAGTTCAGGCCCCATGACTGGACCCCCCAAAAAAAGTCTTTGGGGTAGTAGAGTTTCTATTACATTGAATCGACACTTTCGTGAGGCGTGTGTGTGTGTGTGTGTGTGTGTGTGTGTGTGTGTGTGTGTGTGTGTGTGTGTGTGTGTGTGTGCGCGCGAGCGAGCTCGGGGGCCTGGTGCTGTCCCCTAGCTATTACACCCAAGACTAGTGCTCTACTACTTGAGCCACACCTCCACTTCCAGCTTTTTGGTGGTTGGAGATGAGTCTCATGGACGACTTTGCTATGTTGTATCTCGCCTGCTGGGTAGCTGGGATTTTAGTCATGAGACACTTGCCCTGGCTAAATGACTTTTTTTTTTTAACTTTTTTTTTTCTTTTTTTTTTTTTTGGTCGGTTATGGGATTTGAACTCTGGGCCTGGGCACTGTCCCTCAGCTCTACAGCTCAAGGCCAGTGCTCTACCACTTGAGCCACAGCATCACTTCCGGTTTTCTAGTGGTTTATTGGAGATAAGAGTCTCACCGACTTTCCTGCGGGGCTGGCTTTGAACCATGATCCTCAGATCTCAGCCTCCTGAGTAGTTAGAATTACAGGCGTGAGCCACTGGCACCCAGCTTTAAATGACTTTTCTTGGAGAATTCTTCCAAGCCATTTCTTTGCAAAAAATTGGAACAGCAGCAGTCAGTTTGCTGAGCCAGTCAGAGGCATGTAGTTTTGGTGCTGGGGATTGCACCCAGGACCTACAGCAGGTGTTAGTCTACTGCAGAGACAAGGTTCTGAACAACTTTGACCAAGTTTTCAGCAATACTCATGGTCAGTAATAAGTACAAAATGGGTGTTGCAAAGAGGGTATTTGTGCTATCTTGTCTCCAGTACCTCAGCATGGTTACTAGCCACCGAGGTGCCTTTTTTTTTTTTTAAACTTGGCTGTTAATCACTAGAGAAAGGTAAGAGTTCTTCAAATGGTTGACAAAAGATGTGAGAACAGAAGCAGCAGAGCGTATATGTAGCTATCTGCTATTTATGCGAGGGAGGACAGTACTTGCTCACATTAATTGGTCCCCACATTTTCAGGGAAAGGTTCTTTGGCATTAGACTACATTTTGTTGTATGTCATGTCACACTTTATTTTGCCTCCTTTCTACTCCCGAACATAATTGATTGGCAGAGAATTTTAAGAGACCTCTGAGGGAGAACCTCCCTCCAAGCCGTTAAGAATTGGGAAGACCAGGGGTGTGTGGTACGTGTAATGTATATCCCTGTGGGTTTTCCACCTGCCAAAAGCAGTTTGGAAAGTTCTTAAGCTAAGCTGCAAACCTCACTGGCATTATCCTTTGTCTCTAAGATCCTTGAGTAGTTTAGTAGTACAGCTCTACACAATGGCAGATGTAATAAATTGGTTATAAACTATTTGGTTTAGCCTACACAGTGATTAAAATTGTGGAATAGTTTCCAACTTACCCACACCAGGATTTTGGGTTCTCACCACCATCTTTTATTTTTTTTTTTTTTTTTTTTTTTTTTTTTTTTATTGTAAAGCTACTATACAGAGGGTCACAGTTACATGAGTGAGGTTATGAGTACACTTCCTCTTGAACATTGTTACCCCCTCCATTGTTTTCCCCCTACCATCCCCTCCCTCCCTCCCTTCCCCGAGGTTCTTTTTTTTTTTTTTTTTTTTTGATTGTGATTAAATGATTACATAATTTCAAAGTCACAAGTTCATTCTAACTTCCCTGGAGCAAATTGTCTACCACAGTCTGTAATATATAACAGTGTTCACATGTTATATACCATATTTGTGATCAGCAGCATGAGGATATTTAGTAGTGGTTCAACCAGATGAGCGGGAGTTCTTTGTTTCTTAAACCACCATCTTTTAAAATGATTGCTTTTCTTGAAAAATCTGGACTTGGGTTCACACTGAGCCTTCTTAGCCCAAGCAGTACTGAGCAGAGGCAGCTGGTCTTCCTTTTGCCTCTACTACGTGCTTCTCTGAAGATGAGCCTGTGCTGGCTCCATGGGACTGCAAGCATGCAGCTTGCCTCTGAACAGCCGCCCTGTGCTGTGCCCTGCCCCCTCAGTGGAGGTGTAAAAGTCTGCCCCTTTCTCTATGCCCTTAATCCCCTATGTTGAGTGGGGCTAGGGTCACATTTAGTTTTCCTAAAACTAAAGGTTTTACTTAGAAGAATCACAATATGTATTCTCAAAAAACAAAAAAAAGGCTAGTTGCTCTGGATATATCCTTTGAACAATTGTGTCTTCTGTGGAAAGTTACCTCAAAGGTTACTAACTAGAGCAAGCTTGGTTGTACTTGGCTTAACAAAAAATGGGGAGAATTTTTAAACTTGAAAGCAGTTTATAGACATATGAGCGGATATAAACAAGTATGCAAATATGTATGAAATTTATATGCAGAACTGATATTTGTTCATATAGGCCATGATTATTTAAAAACAAAAAAGTGTGTCTTACTGTGTGATATGGTTGTAACTCAAGGCTCTAGGTGCTCTACCATTTGGGCCACAGTGCCACTTCCGGTTTTTGAGTGGTTAATTGGAGATAAGAGTCTTATGAGGACTTTCCTGCTGGGACTGGCTTTGAACCACAATCCTCAGAGCTCAGCCTCCTGAGTAGCTAGGATTACAGGCGTGAGCCACCAGCACCCAGCTTTGGAATGTTCTTTTTTTTTTTTTTTTTTGTCGGTCGTGGGGCTTGAACTCTGGGCCTGCGCGCTGTCCCTCAGCTCTTCAGCTCAAGGCGAGCGCTCTACCACTTGAGCTACAGCGCCACTTCCGGTTTTCTGGTGGTTTATTGGAGATAGGAGTCTCACGGTCTCTCCTGCCCGGGCTGGCTTTGAACCGCGATCCTCAGATCTCAGCCTCCTGAGTAGCTAGGATTACAGGCGTGAGCCACCAGCGCCCGGCTGGAATGTTCTTATATAGACTCTTTTTGTTAGAGTTGGAAGTTATCCAGATAGATTCTAATGACTTTTAAAAAGATGTAAAAAATCCCCAGTACCCTGGTTAGACCTGAATTAGCCCCTTCATGGGCAGTTGTTAAGGTATTTTTGGCTACTAAATACAAATAATCTGTGCGAGAGACCAATAGAGCCACCCAGTGAGGTAGCGTGGAGAGCAGGGGAGCAGGGAATAGCTCTCTTTCTCTTTCAAGGCAAGACCATGCTTGTCCTCATAAAGAAGACCAAAGAGCTAATGAGTATCTGTGACATGCATTGTTTTAGGTTAAAAAGTTTGGTTGGAGGGCTGGGAATGTGGCTTAGTGGTAGAGTGTTTGCCTAGCAAGCTTGAATCCCTGGGTTCGATTCCTCCATACCACATAAACAGAAAAAGACAGAAGTAGCACTGTGGCTCAAGTGGTAAAGCACTATCCTTGAGCAAAAGAAGCTGAGGGACATGTCCAGACCCTGAGTTCAAGCGCCATGACCACCCCCCCCCCCCCAAAAAAAAAAAAAAAGTTTGGGGCTAGTGAGTACCATGCATGCTCTTAAGTTTGATATCCAGCTTTACACTTTAAAAAGTATGTATATTCACCATATACACATGCAACCGATTCAACAATGTTTACCCAAGAAACATTAACTTGTTACATAATCATTTTAGAGTCAAACCCTAAAGCTAGTCCTGGTGGCTCATCCTGTAATCCGAGGTACTTAGGAGGTGGACATAGGAGATTCCCTGCCAGACCTGGAAAGAAGCATAAGAAGAAGCGTTACAAGGCTGGCACATGGCTTGAGTGGCAGAACTCATTACACTTGCTACCCTGCTAAGTTTTATTCTTCCATGCAGTGGAATTTCAGAGCCTTGGCCACATGGCCCCTGAACAGCAGGTGTTAGAACAAGAATTTCACTTCTCTCTTGATAGCATAACACAGGCCTCAAATTAAGCAGCTAGAATTTAGACATTTTTTTTCTGCACTCAAGTCTGTTTTTTACTGTGAAAGATACTTCAACTGTTTTGTTTGTTCAGAAGTAATTGCATTCTAACTTAATGTACTTTTCTTTGAATAAAGGCAGATGGGCCAGTTATGGTACAGGGGACCATTACAGGATTGACTGAAGGCCAGCATGGATTCCATGTCCATCAGTTTGGAGATAATACACAAGGTAGGTTTTGTGCTACTCTAATGACAATGGTTCATTGGTGGTTATTAAGGTAATGACTTGGGTAACCCCCGTTTAAAAGGCCCTCCCCACCTGTGTTAAAATAACCCCTAAGATTCTCATTAGGGAATTAACTACAAAACTGTAGTCTTTGACTATTTTAAGTGGGATGAATAAAGGGGAAAGGAATTGATATTTTTAATTGTGCTAATGGGATCGAGGGTTCTTAGAGTGCAGTAGAAAAATAGAAGCAAAAAGTTAAGCAGTTTCTGGTTTTGTTTTTGTGCTGGCCCCAGGCTTGAATTCAGGGCCTGGGTGCTGTCCCTGAGCTTCTTTTGCTCAAGGCTAGCACTCTACCACTTGAGCCACAGCGCCACTTCCATCTTTTTCTGCTTATGTGGTGCTGAGGAATCAAACTCAGGGCCTCATGCATTCAAGGCAAGCACTCTACCACTGAGCCACCTTCCCAGCCCCTGGCTTTTTTTTTTTTTGAGTAATTTATTGAGATAAGTAAGAGTTTCATGGACTTTCCTCCTGCTCTGGCTTTGAACCATGATCCTCAGATCTCAGCCTCCTGAGTAGCTAGGATTACAGGCGTGAGCCACCAGAGGCCGGCTAAGCAGCTTCTTGTCTTAGGTAATCCCAATGTTTTCATGCTGGAGTCAGGAGTGGGCACTTCAGGTACAGGCTCTGATTTCTATGCATTATACTATATAAGAATATGAGATTTGAAGTGGAACAATAATTTGATGTAGGCCAGGAAAAGGTGACTCATTCCTGTGCTTTTTACCTCCTTGGGAGGCTGAGATTGGGAGGATCACATTTTGAGACAGCCCTGGCAAAAAACTTTGAGACCTCCCCCATCTCAGCAGCAGAAGCTGGACATAGTGAAGTGTATCAACCTACCTACAGTGGGAAGCATAAATAGAATCAAGGTCAGGACTACGGAGCAAAAAGGGAGACCCTGTCTCAAAATAACCAGAGCAAAATGTGCTAGAGGTGTGGCTGAAGTGGTAGAGTGCCAGCCTAGCAAGCTTGAGGCCTTGAATTAAAAAGCCCTGAAAACTGCAAAGAAAAAAACACGTTTGATACAAATTGAGGACTCTTGGTGCTTTGGATTGTTTGACCTTTTTCAATTTGAAATTAGTAGCAAGTTAGCAAAAGTTCATGAGTTAAATTGCCTTTAGTAACATTTTGTCATATTTGAGTAGTAATCTGAAGTTTATATTTAGACTTCTTCATTTTTTGTTAGAAGTGTGTGTGTGTGTGTGTGTGTGTGTGTGTGTGTGTGTGTGTGTGTGTGTGTGTGTGTGTGTGTGTTAGAGAAAGACAGTGTCAGGATTTGTAGCTCAGGCTGGAATCAGTCTTTTGAATGATGGGATTAGGTATGAGTCATTGCAGTTGGTGTTTAATGTACCATAATTTGGTTCCAAATAGTTACTATGAAGTTTGATCCATTCCAGTAATACTAATATTCCCCAAGTTCCCTCTGCCTCTGGTTTGGAAGGTGCATAAATGTTTTGTAGCTTTGATTTGTTTAAGCTACTTCCTGAAACCTGCCTTATTTTCTTATTTCCTTCCACTGTCATGAAAGATTTCCAGCATTTCTGCTATCTGGGATGCAGGTGGCAAACCTGCCTCCCCTCTAGGGTTTTGCAAGGCAGAAACCTTGGCCCTGGAACATGAACCTTGGTTCTACCTCTACACAAGCAAAGGCCATAGACAGGAGGGCTGCTTGGTGGAATGGTACTGGGAGGTAGCTTTTTTTTTTGGGGGGGGGGCGTGCAAGGACTGTGTTCATGTTTGAATTTAGGGTTTCTCACTACTAGTCAGGCACTCTTTACCTTCCACTTGAGCCACACCATTAGTCCTTTTTTGCATTATTTTTGAGTTAGGGTCTTTTGTGCTTTCTTGTGTAGCTGGGGAGACAGGTGTGTGCCACTGTGCTCCTTCCCTGTAGCTGACATAATGGTGAGTATCAGTAGGCCCAACCATTGGTTTAGAATGGCGTATTATAAACATATATATAGATATTTTTTTTTTTTTTGTCGGTTGTGGAGCCTGAACTCTGGGCCTGGGCACTGTCCCTCAGCTCTTCAGCTCAAGGCTAGCACTCTACCAGTTGAGCCTCAGCCCACTTCCGGCTTTTTCTGCTGATGTGGTGCTGAGGAATCGAACCGAGGGCCTCATGCATGCAAGGCAAGCACTCTACCACAGAGCCACCTTCCCAGCCCCAAAACATCTGGGCTGGCCTTCAACCAATCTCCTTGTCCCAAGTAGCAAGGATTACACGTTTCAGACATCAAGCGTGGGTGAGATAGCTTTTTTTTTTTTTGGTAGGTCATGGGGCTTGAACTCTGGGCCTGGGCACTGTCCCTGAGCTCTTCAGCTCAAGGCAAACACTCTACCACTACTCTACCACTTGAGCCACAGTGTCACTTCTGGTTTTCTGGTTGTTAATTGGACATAAGAGTCTCACGAACTTTCCTGCCTCGGCCGGCTTTGAACTGTGATCCCTAGATCTCAGCCTCCTGTGTAGCTAGGATTACAGGCATGAGCCACCAACGCCAGGCTTGTAATCGGTTTTTGAAAATCTTTCTTAAAATTAGGGATCATAATCGTGTGATTTTCTTTTTTAAAACTACAGTATAGTGTTGAAGATCAAGCCTTACTTCCTTAATTTAGCATGAAGAGGTGAGAGCTGGTGCTATAATCCTAGCACTGGGGATGCCGAGGCAGGAGGATAATGAGCGAGAGGCCAGTTTGGTTACATAGCAAGACTGTTTCAAAACACACAAAAAAGGAATAAGGCATAACCATTCTTGATTCTGGAATTTGGGTTCCTAATTTAGCTTTTTTTGGGGGGGGGGAGGAGAACGTTGGTCATAGGTCTGGGCTTGTGACCTGTCCCTGAGCCTTTTTGCTAAAGGCTAGTGCTATACCACTTAAGCCACCGCTCCACTTGCAGTTTTCTGGTGGTTAATTGAAGGCAAGAGTCTCACAGACTTTCCTCCCTGGGCTGACCTTGAACTGTGATCCTCAGATTTCAGCCTCCTGATTACTTGCTTGAATCATCAGCGCCTGGCTCTTAACTGCTTATTTTTATTTCTTGTAAATAGGTTGTACCAGTGCAGGTCCTCACTTTAATCCTCTATCCAAAAATCACGGTGGGCCAGAAGATCAAGAAAGGTAACAAGATGCTTGGCTCTTATATAAGGAGGCTGGTGGCTGGGTGGGCTTGTAGTGCTTGCAGAAACAAAGAAAATAGAGGTAGGCTCCCTATGTTGGTTTTTACATTTGTTGTCTCCCATACCATTCCCCCATGCCCAAATCAGTGGAATGGCTCTCTGTGGGTAAAGGAATATAGAATATAGAAAATGCCATGAATACCATAACCACTAGCAAAAAAAATCATTTGAGAAGCATAGGAAACTTCTATAGATAATGAAAAGCAGTTGAGACTCCCATTTGTTTGTGTATCTTTTCTGAAGGCCTTTCAGGAAAATATTAAAAATAAAGATTAATTTGTAACACAGTCTTAGCTTAACTCTCTCCGGAACTAACATCATAACTCAGTAGCTGAGTTTCCCTTTGGTACTTACATCTGAAATTTAAGTGTGCAGAGCATTATTTTTGTAGATTTCTATTACCTAGTTGAATAGCTGTTTTTAAATTTGTGTTCCCAAAATGTCAGTTTGGCAAAGTGATCTTTTTGAATATATTTTCCTCTTAGCCCACTCCTTTTCTTTTGTCGGTCCTGTGGCCTGAACTCTGGGCCTAGGTGCTGTCCCTCAGCTCTTCAGCTCAAGGCTAGCGCTCTACCACTTGAGCCACAGCGCCACTTCCAGATTTTTCTGCTTATGTGGTGCTGAGGAATCGAACCCAGGGTCTCATGCATGCACGCAAGGCAAGCGCTCTACCACTGAGCCACCTTCCCAGCCCCTCTTAGGCCACTCTTATGGAGTCTTGTTAAATTTTAGTTAGCACATGAACTGTCTTTGGTGTGACATAGACACTAGTGCTAATTGATCTGATGCTTTTTCAATGTTAGACATGTTGGAGATCTGGGCAATGTGACTGCTGACAAAGACGGTACAGCCAAAGTGTCCATCAAAGACTCAATGATCTCACTCACAGGAGAGTGTTCCATCATTGGCCGCACTATGGTGGTAAGTTTTCATACAAAGGAGGATATGCATAGTTTCTTCTAATGTATAATATTGTACTTTGGATCAAGACTTCATGATGGTTAGTCCTAATTTCTATAAAGATCCATCTAAATTGTACTTGTAGTCCACATTAGGACAGGTCATTATTTTATTGGATGATTCTAGAGAAGATGAATTAATATATTTAGTTCAGTTAGGAATACTGCTCTAAGAAAGATGCAGTAAAAAGTAGGTTTTATTTTATTTTCCTAGATCCAGATTGGGAAGACAGCCAGATTTTCTTGCATGATTGTTTCCACGCTTGTATTTAAACAGAACATTTGATTGAATCTAGAATCTGGGATGGACTTCAGTGTTACAAATTCAAGTCTAGGTTATCACTCTTGGTTACTCCCACTCTTGTGGGAGCTGTCTTTCCAAGTTACCCTGCATCTGGCTCATGGAAAACAAGTAGTAAAGCTGTTGCCTACCTCGGGCAGTAGACACTTCCTTTCAATTGACCTTTGTTTTTAGAATTTTCTTCAGTTTGTTGATAAAACAGAATCAGCCAAAGTCATTTGTAAATGTTCCATGAACACAATTTAAAATACTTTTACGATTAAGCCTGTAACTTACTGGGCATGAAATTTTGAGTTTTTCCACATACACACTGCCCCTTCTGTTCCCCCAAAGAAATTTAGACCATAAGCCGGGCACCTATGGCTCACGCCTGTAATCCTAGCTACTCAGGAAGCTGAGATCTGAGGATCGAGGTTCAAAGCCAGCCTGGGTAAGAAAGTGTGTGAGACTCTTATCTCTAATTAACCACTAGAAAACCAGAAGTGGCGCTGTGGCTCAAGTGGTAGAGCACTAGCTTTGAGCTTGGAGGTGAGGGAAAGTGCCCAGGCCCAGAGTTCAAGCCCCATGACTGAAAAAAAGAAAAAAGAAATTCACACCATAATGACTACTGTAACTAAAGTTACTGTTTTTGTTTTTTTTTTTGAGGGATTAAGAGCAGCATGTGGTGGCCTATAAACAGCATTGGTTGGGTTTTTAATATTTTATTTGCCTGTCAACATCTTCCTAGTGTTCAAAGGTAACATGTCTTTGCCACCAGCAAGTAGTAGTTTTTTTACTTTTTTTTTTTTGCCATTCCTGGGCCTTGAACTCAGAGCCTGGGCACTGTCCCTGAGCTTCTTCAGTAAGCATAGCATTCTACCACTTGAGCCACAGCACCACTTCCGGCTTTTTCTGTTTATGTGATACTGAGGAATCAAACCCAGGGCTTCATGCATGCCAGGCAAACACTCTACCACTAAACCACATTCCCAGCCTGTAGTTTCTACTTTTAAAGTAGCATAAACATGAGTATATATTCTTTACTAGTAGGATTATTTTAGCATGCAATTTTCTCAAGTTGTTCTCAAACGTCTTCAGTGATATTGTTGGGAAGAGGTGGTAATTACTTGATGGCCCAAAGTTAAATGTTCTTTTTTTTCCCCCCCAATTCTTTTAAAGGTCCATGAAAAAGCAGATGACTTGGGCAGAGGTGGAAATGACGAGAGTAAAAAGACAGGAAATGCTGGAAGTCGTCTGGCTTGTGGTGTAATTGGGATCACCCAGTAAACATGCTCTACCATGTGGTTGTCTGAGTCCCAGTAACCCATTTGTTACCTTGCTAGCTTTAGGAATTTAACCCGATAAACATTAAAGTCTGTAATCTTAAAAGTGTAATTGTGTTGACCTGAAAAAAATGGCTTAAGAACTTGTAATGAGAACTGATTTATGGTCACTTGGAAGATTTGTATAGTTTTATAAAACAATTAAAATGCGTTTGATACCTGTATTTGCCAGATTACTCATATATGGGTATTAAGCTGTTTGAATTTCATTTTCATTGAAGGCTATAAATAAACACTATATATGTCACTTATTTGAGCCTCTTGAAGTATCCAAATCCTTGTTGAAAATTAGCAGACACTTTGATAAAATTGAGCTTCACATAACAACTATTTTTTTTTTTGGAAGTGTTTTAATTGAGGCCATTGGAATACAGGATGTATTAGCAGCTGTCTTTTAGCTGGGTCAATCATATATTGTCAGATTTTCCCATTTTTTGTGTGTGTTACCAGTCTTAAGGCTTGAACTCAGTGCTTGGGCTCTATCCCTGAGTTTTCTTTGCTCAAGACTAAAGCTGTATCACTTGAAATACAGCTCTACATCTGGCTATAAAAAAAAAAAATCCCAGGGGCTGGGAAGGTGGCCCAGTGGTAGAGCGCTTGCCTTGCATGCCAGAGTCCTTGGGTTCGATTCCTCAGCACCACATAAGGAAAAAAAAAAAAGCTGGAAGTGGCGCTGTGGCACAAGTGGTAGAGCGCTAGCCTTGAGCTGAAAAGCTGAGGGACAGCGCCCAGGCCCAGAGTTGAGGCCCCATGACCGGACCCCCCCCCAAAAAAAAACAAGAACAAAAAAAACTCAGACTTTGCTGCCCAGGCTGACTTTGAACTGTGATCCTCAGATATCAGCCTCAGAAGTAGCTGGGATTACAGGCCTAAGCCATAGTGCCTGGCTTCATTTAGCATTCTTTTCATGAAATTGTTTTATTTAAAAAGATGTTCACTTAAGGCCTGTGTGCTGCTATCAGTGAACTTGATAAAGGCAAGTTAACAGGCTCAGTTTAAACCTACCTACCTTCAGTCTGTTTTCAGGTTGACGTGATAAATATACAACACTGGAAGATGAAAATAAGGGGATGTTGACAGTGGGTTCTGGGTGTTTAGACATTGCATTATACATACTCACTTCATGAAACCTAGCCTCTCAATGTAAATATGGCCGCCTCTCAATGTAAATATGGCCCAGCAAGAGAATGCTTTTAACAGAAATGTTAATCTAATTGAGATTTCATGTCTGAGATGTACTTTATTCAGTTAAAAAGTTGTACACTAGTTCTGAGAAACCAGGAATAAGGTCATAGTCCTATTTGTAAGTATGTGCTTTATCAAATATAGGATATTTAGGAAACAGCTAAATTGGGAAGAGGTAAAATTGCAGTGTTTGCAAAATTTTTAAATTACACTGTTAAAAAATGTCCATTCAGGTACTTTAAAACATTAGTTTGTTGCATGTGAGAAATGACTTAAACGCAGAAACTAACTTGTGAAGACTCAAGTATGATTACAATGCCAGTTAGTGCCTTTTTTTTTTTCATGTAGTACATATTTTTGATTTGGAAACGAAAACCGGAAATATCTGAAATCTGGACGCTGCATAAAAGATTCATGTTTTTCTCCAGAAGGACTATTTCCTTACATGCATTCTCCCTCAGGCAAAGAGCTTTCTGCAGTGTGTGTGAGATAGGGCTTACTCTCCCTGCCTAGCATTAGTGCCTGGGACTTTTTTTTTTCTTCCAGGCAGTTTTAGGGCTTTAACTCAGGGCCTATGTGCTGTCTCTGAGCCTTTTTTGATCAAGGCTATCACTCACACTTAGGCCATAGCTCTATTTCCAGTGAATTGGAAATAGTGTCAGACTGGTACTGCTTGGGCTGGCTTTGAACTGTGATCCTCAGATCTCAGCCTCCTGAGTATAGCTAGATTAGGCCTGAGTGAGCCACCAGTGCCTGTTTATAAGCATTTTTATGTAACTTTTTCTATAATGTTCAAATGCAAGCTCAATTTGATTTTGGATGAGTTCTTACACATACTTTCCTTCTTAAAGATTCTAAGCAAGAAACAATCTTTATAATGTGTGGCAGAAAGTTCACTATGCTTTGCCTCGCAGTTAATATGGAGGGCAACATGGGTTATGTTTGAACTCATTTTATGTAAAACAAGAAAAAGCTTCCAGGCTGCAAATATTGACCTTAATCTCATTTTATCCTTTTGAAAATTTAATGGGATGATTAAAAACAAAAAAGAAATCCTCCTACCTTTCTAAATAAGTAATGCCCAGGGAGCTAGATAATTTACAGTACAATGTGTAATGTTGGGAATCCAATTATTCCCCCAGCAAAACCTATTTACAAGTTGGACAATATTACCACAAGACTAATGGAAAAAAGAAAACCTTTAGCTCTTTAGTTAATCCTACAACCATTAACCTTATGATCAAAATGCTAAGAATTACAAATCAAAGCGTTCCAGAATAAATATGTATTACCATCAAATAAGCCTAACTTAGACTCCAATACACTACTAACTTAAATGTTGACAGTGACCCAGCTTTCCACCTTAGTGCAGTGTAGGAAGAATAGCACACATTAAGTTTGTTACGAAAATAGAGTTTATTAAAAACATCCCTATTGTTTTGAGGAGCTTTCACCGTTACCTTGTCTTAAATTAAAAAAAAAAAATAGAGAGCACTTCTAATTAGGATTTGTAAACTTTTTAAAGTCAAAACTTTTAAAAAGTTACAGCAAAAGGGTAATATTCATATTTTCAGTATTTTTTTTGTTATTTTGTAGCTATTTTTAAATAGAAGGGAAGCAATCAAATTGCTTACAATTCCCCACAAACTACCTGCGGGGCTGTGATATAGCAGGAGCAAATATAATACAGCATCTGTACACCTCAAGCTCTACACTCTGGAAGTGTCACTGTCACATTTTGTCATATTCCAGGCTCTAGCGAGTTGTCTCTGTTGCTGAGCTAGAATCTTTTTCAGGTTCAACGGATGAGGTAGCCTCAGCAGGTGCCTCTTCAGAGGGTTTTACCACTGTGGCCTTGGCCTCCCCTTTATCAAGTTCTGAAACAGTGTCTACGGTTCCCACTTGGCTAGGTGGAGGCTCGATGGCTTTACCACCTGCCCTGTTAGTCACCTCGGACTTCTCCTTCCCTCGGTTTTCATCCTTCTCTCTGCGAGACTCTCTATCTCTAGAATCTCTCTCCCTATCTCGATGCCCACTAGAGCGTCTATTTCTTTCTTCCAAGTCTCTGTGCCTGTCGCGGTCAGGGCTCCTTCTTCCCCATTCTCTCCTTTCACGATTACTATCTCTATCGTCATTACGGCTCCCATACCGTTCCCGGTCATTTTCCACCCTATTTCCGAATGATCTTCTTCCAAACCTTTCTTGGTCTCTACCTGAATTAAACTGCTGCCTGTTTTCATTTCTAAATTGCTGAGGCTGCTGCTGAGCTGATGGTGGCTGTTGTGATGGCGGTGGTTGCTGTGGTTGTGGCTGAGGTGGAGGCTGCTGCTGTTGCTGCTGTTGCTGTTGCTGCGGTGGTTGTTGCCTTCCATCTCTGTCTTCAGGACCCCCTGGGCCTGGCCCAGGGCCCCCAAGCCCTGGCATTCCACCAGGCCTAACAAAGGGGCCGTGTGGTGGGAAGGGCCCTTTCATTCCATGTGGTGGAGGCATTGCAAAGCCTCCTGGTCCTGGTGGTGGGCCTCTGGGCATCATGTGTGGTGGCATAGGGCGGGGTGGCATCAAAGGGAATCGCTGTAAGTGTGGTGGAGGCATTCCTGGAGGGCGCTGGAGTGGGATTAGTCCAGGTCGTGCACCTAGAAGACCAGTAGATGGTGCCTGGAGCCCAATCACAGGACCAGGGGCAACTCCTTGAGTGCCTAAAGACAACACAAAAACGAACATGTAAATGATACGGAAGATGGTGTGCTATTTTCAGCTGTTTCCTGTTGAATTTTTGGGAAAATGAAATTCAATCCAGAATATGAAGTTTTATGCTGATTGCCAACTGTTGCCAACTTGTGACAAACCCAACATGAGGGCCTACTAACAACCCAAGGCAAGCAATCTTTAAGTCACACTTGTTTGAGCACCTAAGATAGGTAGAAGACTGAGTAAACTGGAAAGAGAACTTATAGAAATTTTTTTTTTCCTGGTCAGTTGTGGGACCTGAACTCTGGGCCTGGGCGCTGTTCCTCAGCTCTTCAGCTCAAGGCTAAGGCTCTAGCACTTGGGCCATAGTGGCACTTCCGGCTTTTTCTGCTTATGCGGTGTTATGGAATCGAACCCAGCGCCTCATGCATGCAAGACAAGCACTCTATCACTGAGCCACCTTCCTAGCCCACTTACAGTGAAGAATATGTCTGAATCTCCTTCACTAGCTTCATTCGAAGCTGTTTATGCCATATCAAATACTTAGAACAAGACATTAAAAAAGACAATGTGCAGAAGTCTCAATGAGATAAAAGACCGCATTGAATACCAACTATTTAAACCAACTGAAGAGTATTTCATGACAGAATTTTACAATCTAAATTCTGAGTTTTTTTAATCCAATTTACTAGTAGGAATAAAAAGGTTACTGACTTAGAAAATCCAGTAAAAGGTTAACTCTGATTCCATACTTCATATTACTAAAATGCTTCCTGGGTTATACTGTGCAATATGTGCCAGTATGTGCAAATGTGAGGTTTACAGTTTTACTTTTAAAGCACAGCACATGTATAATTTGCTAAGTCAAGACTACTGAATTATGCAGGTATGTCCAGTCATTCACCCTGGTGGCGAGAGCATGCTGTGGAAAATAACAGTAACTCACTGGTTTTGCTGCCTGTTTACATGAGAGGTCACTAATTCTAGTGTAACAATCATTTTCAACTGAGAATCTAAGGGACAAGGGGCTGGGATTTGTTTTGACTCTACTTACATGACAGAAAGACATCAGACCTGTTTCTTTCCAAGTATAAATACAAAGCAAATATTATGACCAAAAGGAGTTACTCCAAATAGTCAGAATATGCTCCTGCTCCATTGTGTCACAGAAAGATCTTTGAACAAAGTTGTGTGTTACCATTAAAATGAGAGTCAAGCATCTATCAGATTTAGTCACAAAAGTGGACACGTGCATGCTAAGCCTGGTACTCATGGCTCATGCCTGTAATCTTTACTACTCAGGAGGTTGAGGATAACATAGTTCAAGGCCAGTCAAGTAAGAAAATACATGACACTCTTATTTGCAATTAACCTTAACCAAGCAACCAAAAATGGAGCTGCAAACTCTAGTACTGGCATTTATACTAGTTGTATTCATACTAGTTCATAACTCTAACATGTAGGATTCACCAGCTGTGGCACTTAACATCCTACTTCTAAAATGCCTACTCAGAAGTGATTTTAGACATGTGCCTCACTATTCTTTCCATCTTAAAATATGAACACAATGCTGGGCAGCCATGGCTCACATCTGTAATCCTAAGGACTTGGGAGGCTGAGATCTAAGGATCACAGTTCGAAGCCATCCTGGACATCAAAGACTCTCCAATTAACCACTCAAAAACAAGAAATGGAGCTGTGACTCAAAGTGGTAGAATGCTAGCCTTGAGCAAAAAAGCTCAAGGACAGTGCCCAGGCCCTGAGTTCAAGTCTCACAACCTACCAAAAAGAAAAAAAAAACAACAAAAACCTCACCACGGTAATAACTGTCAACTGAAATAAGCCAGATAAAAACTGTAGCATTGAGTTCAATGCTTGCTCAGTTAACTGGTCCGTTATCCCACACATCCATTTAAGAAGGTAGTGAATATTCTAATAATAAAGACTTGATTTTACAAGACAAGCACTTTTCAGGGCTGGGAAGGTGGCTCAGTGATAGAGCGCTTGCCTTGCATGCATGAGGCCCCGGGTTCGATTCCTCAGCACCACATAAGCAAAAAGAAAAAAGCCGGAAGTGGCGCTGTGGCTCTAGTGGTAGAGCACTTGCCTTGAGCTGAAGAGCTGAGGGACAGACAGCGTCCAGGCCCAGAGTTCAGGCCCCATGAGCGGACCCCAAAAACAAAAACAAGCACTTTTCACTTCTGATAATTAAGATCTTAATGAATTTTCCTGGACCCTCCAGTACTCAGTATTTTACCAGTTGGGAAAAATGTAAACACAATGAAGCTCCTTCCACGTCATTCAAGTTGAGAAGCGGCAATAAGCCACTGTGAAGTGGATAAATCTAGGGATGGTGAGGGCTCTGCTGCTTCACAGCTCTCTTCAGAAACAGTAAGCACACATTTACTGGGGTTTCAAAGTATTATCACAAGGTAACTTTCAGATTAATCTGCAAAACTCAGGAAGGGATTCTTGCAGGGCAACAGTAAGTCCTATTCCTGATTCCCATGACTTAAGTCTTGTCAACTGCTAATATGACAATATCCAACGGATCAAATATCCACCCTACTCAGAAGACAGAAAATGAGCCATTAACACCATCACCTCCTTATTTGGGATTGCAATCAGGGTCTGGCGCATGTGAGGCAAGTGATACACACTCTGGCTCTTTTGTTTCTGATAATCTAACTTTGTCAACTCTCACCCTGAACTTGTGATTCTCACACGTGAGTACCTATGATCACACACCTGTGCTAACCACACCTAGCTTGTGTAATGATTCTTTGTAAAACTATGCTTTAGGTTTTATACAGATATAATCTCTAGGCCTATATTTTACAACTCTTTACAAGGTGCTTTTGAGGGTGTGTATATATTATCAGGCTCACTATTTTCAAAAATCACCCACTTAAACCTGTGAAGTGCAAGTTTTAAATAAAGATAAAAATCATACAATCAAACTATTTGTTACATGTGGATATTTAAAATATCACACCTAACATCCTTTACTTGGCAAATGCTACCAAGATGTGTTGGCTGAATTTCTTTTTAAACTTTTGTACTATAAGCCATTAATATTTACAGATTTCTCTAACAGAATATTCTCATAGATAGATCAGAATGGATTACTTGTTTCCAATTTTGCATGTTACATTATATATATAATTAAAACTTCATTAGGTGACAGAAACCTTTGGTAAAGTTTCATTCTTGGGCAATCATAAGCAGCACATAGCAGTGGCATTATAGCATCAAAAGAGCATGCAGAGCAATTAAGTTTTATTGGGAAGTACACTGTGGTATCAGTGATGTTTTCTTGAGTGAATAATTTTGTAAGCCAGGCACCGGTGGTTCATGCCTGTAATCCTAGCTGCTCAGGAGGCTGAGATCTAAGGATGACAGTTCAAAGCCAGCCCAGGCAGGAAAGCCCGTAAAACACTAATCTCCAATAAACCACCAGAAAACTGGAAGTGGTGCTGTGGCTCAAGCGGTAGAGTGCTAGCCTTGAGCTGAAGATCTGAGGGACAGTGCTCAGGCCAAGAGTTCAAGTCCCATGACCGACAATTCTGTAACATTAAGCACCTAAACTTTACATATTAACTCATTCATATAGGCTGGGAATATGTAAAGCAAGCTTCATTTCCTCCAGGCAAGGATAGTCTAATAGAAACAAATTTCAATTAACAGCAAGAGATGGCACTAGGTAGGTGAGGTAACACAAAGGTGGAGCAGAGGAAGAGATGTGTATCCAAGTAGGAGTCAGCAGACCCTGGTTTTGGTCTACAGTAAAGAAGAATGTACAAGGCCAGTATAAATAGGCTACATTGTTCAGAGGACTGGCTTCAAAAAAAGGCTCACCAGCAAGGTGATGCAGTGAGATGGGTCGTTAAAACAACTCTAATGTGCTGAAAGTCAAGGAGGGAAACTGGACATGAGGTTTACACAGCTCAGGAGGGCCTGGCCAAGAGACCTTTGGTCTCAAGAGAAGGAACCTGGACTTGACTTTAGTGGTGGGGGAAACCAGAGAGGGATTCTGAGCAGGGATGAACGAATGATCCTTGTTTTGAAAAATCTTTCTGGTAAGTAGTATATAGAAAGCAAGCATTTAGGCTCTTATTTTAAGGATTGAGTAGATATGACAAGCAACTGAGTTGAAAGAGGGATGCTAGAGCTCAAAGATTTAAGACTAGCGTGCAGGATCAAGTTAGAGGTGAAAGAACACAGGCTATCTCCTGAGATTACTGAGTAAATGGAGATGTCTAAGACACACAAAGTGAACAGGGTGGCTTCATCATGGACCACAAGAGTGCCTAGAGTTAGGGAGAGAAAGCAAGTAATGAATGAAATGTCTGGTTAACAGTGCAGGAAAGAACACTGTGTCATTAGCTGGATTAGTTCATAAGCACAGGAAACATAAGTGGGAAAAGCGGTTATCTCCCACATGAAAGGTAAGAGATGGGTAGAGAAAGAACAGCAAGCAAGGCAGTCCACTCCTATTTCTTGGCCAACCTTATTTTACCTTGTATTGCAACTACTACCTCTACTACCAGTGGTGAAACTCATTACTTCAGAATTACCATTCCTCTTTCCTCTTCCGTCTACGGTCCCTTCTTATCCTTTCATCTATCAGACATACCCCCAGTCTTTTTTACCTTACCTGCCTCTGAAGTCCATGGTTCTCCCTCACAACGGAACCCCTAATATTGGTTTACTATTTGTTTGTAGTGTTGGGGACTGAACCCAAGGTCTCAATACCAGAAAGGACCCACCAAACTGTTGACTGGTCTCATGAAAACAACTGACAACTATGACCAGAGCTGTGCCCTTTCACTCAGGCCAGCAATCTTGTGAGCTCACACTCCCATATCCCACATATCACAATTCATATTTCTAACTTTCTAGTTTTAGTTATAGCCTATAATTTACCTACATTTAGTATATAAGCCAGTGAGCTTTTATAGTCACAGAATCAAATAATCAATACCAATTTTAAGATAACTTCACTCCC